TTGTCATTCATATCGCCAACAGTATTGCAATCTTCTAGGCACTGAAAATAGTTTTGTAGCTCGAGCTGAAAGGTTAGGAGCATCTTTAAATAAAATTAAAAAAAAATTACTTATCAACGACGTAACCGATGACTGTCATTATTATTGTTTAAATATTTGGAATAAACTATTAACAACGAAATTTTGAAAGTAGTCCCAACAACTGATATTGGTAGCTAAAAGTGGAATTCGTTTCTCTCCATGCATAGACAAACTCGTTTTCTTAAATTATTTTGTACACTTGACTGTGCTTGACTACTGTTAAGCTTTTAACCTAAATTTTAAAAATTTTACCTAAATTTATAACCGAGCGACTCTTACGAATGTGTGCGTGCGTAGCAAAATAGTAGGCATTAGATATTTATGAATGACAATCAATTAAAATAATGCATTCCCACGCATTCTGAATTAAAACGATATAAAGGACTGAATGTTTGACATTTTGTTAATTAAGTTTTTTTCACATTCGCCTATATTATTTGTCCTGACTCCTGAACCTTCTTTGCAAATGCTGTATATTGCAAAATATACCCTGTGTAATGTTTTTAAAACGGTTGTATTATTTTTTTCTAAAGACACAAAATATGAGAAATTGAGAAAAATATTGAAAAAAAAAAACGAACAATGCATCATCTGGTACGCATAATTAAAAATATTATCCCACATCATAAGAAAACAATAAAAAGCTTCGGTGAAAAATCCGTACGTCAAGCTCAGCAACTATGGCAAAATCCATCAGTGGGAGAGGCTTCTGTTCAGCCGAGGACTTTTTTGTAGGCTTTAATCAATTAAATGTTGAACTAAACTAGATGATTGTGAAGCAAGAGTATTATGTCTGGGTAAGTATGACGGTTTTCTTTTCTCTATTTGTATCTGCAGTTCTTTTGAATGGTTGAAGTGATAAGTTATTACAGGTAAGATAATACGTCTTAGTTTGTAGAGACGACGTTTTTTCAGGCTGACTTTGTTTGTATTGTAGCTAGGTACTCGTACATATTATCACGGTGAACTTTCTTTAAAGTAAGGATGGTAAGGGTGACGTTAAACGAGCACATAGTTCGCCCGTTGATAAATGGATGCTGCGGCTCATTGACACCTACGTCCTTTCTCGATTAAGAATCAAAATGCAGTTGCTTTATTATCCTTGAGTATCATACGCAAGCATGGTCACTCCCATATCGAACTGAGTTACCTGGCACCTGCAAGTATTGGCTGCATCTATATTATGGTTGTAGCACCAATGGGCCCATGCTTTCACAGAATACCAGCGTAAAATAACAGCTTAATGCTGCCGTTTCGTATAGTGAGTATAAAGAACCCCTTTTTTACTGGAAACGAGGTATTCCATCGTAGTCCTTAGGTGACATTTTTAATCGAGGATAGATTGAGATGTTAATGGGCATAGCATCCACTTATCATCAGGTGGACTATGTGCTTGTTGTTCACGCTTATTCTATAAAAAAGTTTTTAAAGTCATTGTTGACCCATCATCTATTTTCTGTGATGTAAGCGCTGTTAGCCTATGCAGCTCTTACAGCTTTATCTGACACAGGGCTATATATACTAGGGCCACTGATGATCTGGACTACCTTTAGCTTTATATACTAACTTTCGATCCGATTTACGCAGAACGAGCTTACAGTGGCTTTAAATAATAATTATTTTATTTTTGTATTTAATAATATTTGGCCGTTAATTGCCAGGGGATCTGGTGGCCGAATAGGGTGATCGTACTTAACGATTTTTTGGGTATTGCTACAATTTTCTCAGGATTTACTTCGATTTTCCATAAGCGGAACGAATCGACTAAGCGGTTGACGGCTACACCTGGAAGTACTTTTGTTGTAATGGGTGACGAAAAGTGCCGTGTCATCGGTGAAGAGAGCATTATTTACTACTGGGTCCTTCGGGATGTCACTCGTGAAGAGTGTAAAGAGAAGTGGGAAGAGGACTGGGCCCTGAGGGACTCTAGCCTTGAGGAGGCGTTCCAAAGATCGAGTTCTCTCCATTCGATAGTGAAAGTGGCAACTGGCAAGAAATGCTCTGATGATGTGAGTGAGCCTATCAGGCACGTTGAGTTTATACAGCATGTAAGGCAAGCCGTTGTGCCAGACTTTGCCGAACACTTTTGCAACATCGAAGAGGATTGCACCGGTGCTAGTGGTCCTATGGTTTATTTTTGAGGGGCAAAAGGTAATTTTGGAAGTGGTATCTGTAACATATATGTATATAAGGTATGTAGGGTAGGTAACTATTACTAATACAAGGAGCATGTCAAATTATGTAGACGGTTAGGCAAGGCTTGCGTATAGACGTTTAACAATCGAGTGTGTTTTATTTTACACTATGCTAGGGTTTGCATTAATTTTATTAATTATGGGATCCCAAGCACCGTATCGCGCCGTGTAATGGCGGTGTAAGAATATCTACAACCCCATATCATCCCGTAGGTGTCGTAAAAGGCGACAGAGAGAAATTGATACAGGTGATGGTCAGCAGCACCGTACTTATAACAATTCAAAATAATTAATACATTGGTGGCCAAGCCGCCTGCTAAGCGTGGCAATTATGGCAAAATACCTCCTATGAGGCAATCTATGTGAGAGGCCTATGTTCAGCAGTGGACTTTTATAGGCTATAATGAACGGACGGATGGATGAAGTAGATGGTAGCCGGCAGCCATGTAGCATGTGGCGGGGCGCACCTCCTTGAGCACGGTCTCGAAGTTCCTGGTGTGCGCGTTGCCGGAGCGCTCGGGCATGAGCTCCAGCAGCTGCGAGTGCGTCTTGTCGCCCGCCGCCAGCAGCGTGCTCACCTCCAGCCGCGACTGCGTCAGCTCGTCGTTGCCTGACACACACACACACAATTTCAACCTCAACAGATGTCGCTAGTTGTGAACTCAGCTCAAGTTTTGCTTCCAAAATGTTATTATAATTGACAAGTTTCGTTTTAATTATAAATTTATCAGTTTATAGAGTACTAGCTGTTCCTCGCGACATCGCCAGCGTGTAATTTAGGGTTTTAATTTTGTTGGGTGGAACCCTAATTATTTTTCTAAAATATAAGTAGCCTAAGTTACTCCTTATAAAATCAGCTATCTACCAGTGAAAGTCCCGTCGAAATCGATCTAGCCGTTTCAGAAATTAACTGGAACAAATAGACAGACAGACAAAAATTTTTAAAATTGTGTTTTTGTTATAGGTTCCGTATATAGTTTTATATGAAATTAGTAAAAAACTTGCATTTTTGCACAAAATTTGTTGGGGTGTTAGCCGAAATTTTACACTTAATAAAGGGTGATTTGCGTCATGTTTATCTAAGACTTAATAATGAATGTACTAAGTGTGTTATTTGGCTAGCCATAATACCGTAAAAGACGACTAATGGAATATTGGGCTTGTGCTTTTGTAGGTGATGGGCTAGTCACCTATTACTTCTTAAACAATTTTTCATTTAAGCCAATATTTTTTGGCTAAACGTTGTCCGAGCAAATTGCTGTTGTTTAGAACCCTATCCCCTCGGGGTTACAGGAGTGTCGCTGTGTGTACATGTGAGGATCGAGAGAGGCGAGTGAACGTTTGAGCGAGGTTACCGAGGTTGGTGCGCGAGGAGACGAGGATGGCGAGGAAGGTGAGCAGGCCCTCCAGCATGGCGTCCTGCTCGGCGGCCTGCGCCGGCGACAGCGGCGTCATGCTCAGCCACTCGCGCACGCCGAACCTGCACACACAACAACCATCATACCCCGCCCATTCAACGCAATATGATATGCAATACTAGCTGTTCCCAGCGACTTCGTAAAGGTGTAATTTACTACGATTAGATTTCATGGGTTTTAAGTTTTAACTTTTTTTGCGCGGAACCCTAATTGTTTTCTTTTTCTGATATAAAAGTATCCTCAGTTACTCCTTATAACATCAGCTATCTGCCAGTAAAACGCCCGTCAAAATAGGTTCAGCCACTTCGGAGATAAGCCGGAACAAACAGACACACAGGCAGACATAATTTAAAAAACTATTAGTAAATCCAGTTGTGCATGCCCTACGCGCATTAAAAAAATTACGTATAACATTATTATACGGATTTTTTTTAAAGTAGTTTAAATACACACATGTTTTCACTAATAAACTTATTATAATTCCAATTTTCCAATAACTTTATGTCAAACTTCAATTTAAAAAAAGTTTGGAAAATTCAAAAGTGCACGACTCATAATGCTCATATGATCATCATATAAGGTCACTCCATAAAGTCCAAGACGTATTTAAGTATAAATATATACATCCTACTTACTTTTAGTACGTACTACTATTATTCATTCTGTGCTCTTAAAATATTGTAATAAAAATATCTGATTATTATAATAAAGTATGTATGTATGGAATTTGGTTTTTCGAATATTTTGTATTTGTACAGCGATCTTTTTGAGCCGCTGCAAACAACCGATACAGTAGCCACTCACGACGGCGGTTGACACCGAACCATAGATAAATAAATATGTAGCAAGCTACGCCAAACTGAGACTGAGCCACAAGCACAGGCAGTCTATTTAATAAGATAAATTAATACAAGGCTGCTAAAACACCAAAAATGTCGACATTTCGCAGCCGAAAAAAATTAATTATAACTAAACAAAACAAAATTAAATTGCCATTTACATTCCATGTTAAACAATTGATATTTTCAAAAGTTATTGTGTTTACCACTCCATGCGGACTTGATAAATCTACACCATAAGCCACTAAACCACTTTTTATGTAAAAATAGCAATTAATCGATTAAAAAAAATTAATAAGTTCAACAATCATTTATCTTTCTTTCAATGTACTTTTTATATAATTTATATGTTCAATATGATTGTTAGATACGATTTTATGCGACAAAACGTTGGAATCTTGATTTTTAGGCGCTAGTGTATGCTACGCGCTTTGCGCTTAAGGCAGGCAAAATTGTTTTTTTTTTTTATGTAAGTACCTACCGTATTATACTTGTTTTTTATGATAAGGGTGACAAACGAACACGCAGTCCACCTGATGGTAAGTGGTTGCTGCGGCCCATAAACATCTACACCTATCCTCAATTACGAATCAAAATGCAGATACGTTGTCACCCGTGAGGACTAAGATGGAATGCCTCGTTTCCAGTAAAAAGGGTCTCCGGTTCTCTACACTCTCCATACGAAACACAGCAGCATTAAACTGCTATTTTACGCTGATATTCTGTGAGAGTATGGTGCTTCCCCAGTCGAGCCGGCCCATGCGTGCTACAACTATACTACTAATATAGCTGCAGCATGGCTCTATCACGTAAAAATACTTTCATAAGCATTTAGTAAAAAGTTTTATTTTGACATTACAAACAGACTCTTTAATCTTATTTATTTTTATAGATTCAAATTCTTTTACACTACTTGGCTTTTTGGCTAACACAACACTTACATGTCTATGCACATGTCGAGGAACTGGTCAGCGGGGAGGTGCGCGGCGCAGATCTGCAGCCAGTAAATATCCATGTCCACCATGGAGTTGCAGAAGTTCGCCTGGATGTAGGTCATCGCTTGCCCTTTGATCTGCAACCCGTTGCGCACCCACACGCCCGCCAGAATCTCGTAGAAAAGGCTCTGCAAGCAACCATATTATTATAATAAGTTAAATGTTATGTAGGTACAAGTGGCCGATTTAATCAATTTTGCTTTGGCTAGGTAAGTATATAAGTTTCATTTGTAAAAGTTAAGTTGACAAACAAATTAATGAATGATAACAACGTCAAGTGAAATGTGTTATTTGTTTTCATAACAATGATATTTAAACACCTATTTCATCAATGTTCAAGACAAGATTTAAAATCATTTATTAAGTTTTTATTGTAATTTAATTTCCGTTTCGTTTTTTCGTTTAGTAAGCAGCACTTCTTTTCTTATTTTTTTTAATATGGTAGTTTTTATGTAGATTTATTACGCAAAATACGAACAAAATATAACACGGGTAAGCTGTATATTATTATGTCTCAACGAAGACTAGCCACTTCGACGGGACAGGATTAAGGTATACGAGTGTGTGCGCAAGAATAAGTGAACTATCTATTCCCACAAAATAAATTTTTCTTCGCTCTTCCCTACTTTGAAAAGTTGTTAAGTTCATTTTTATAGATAAGGATGGTAAAGGAGCACAAAGTCCACCTAATGATAAGTGGATGCTGTGGCCCATAGACATCTGCATCTATCCTCGATTAAGAATCAAAATGCAGATGCGTTGTCACCTTTTAATAATTACCAATACCAGTAATAATTTAAAATTAAAACTTTTGTACAACCGACTTCAATATAAATTATTAAGGATTGAAAAATTTATTTGGGACCACATGGGAAGCACCAGCTTTCAAATAGAAAAAAAAGAATCATCGAAATCGGTTCACCCAGTAAAAAAGTTATGAGGTAACACATAAAAAAAACAAAACCATACAGTCGAATTGAGTACCTCCTCCTGTTTGAAGTCGGTAGAAAATACAGTCTAATTGGGTACCTACTTTTTTAGAACTCGGTTAAAAAAATACAGTTTAAAATCATTTAATATGTTACACAATTAACACACATAAAAAACGTACAGTCGAATTGAGTACCTCCTAGTACCGTTTTGAAGTTGGTAAAAAAGGGTCTCCGGTTCTCTACACTCACCAAAACGTAAAAACGCAAGGGATTTTGACAATAAAATACGTGTTTCTGACAAAGATAAATTCCGAATTATGGCTCTAAGGCATTAAACAAAAATCCACACATTATAAACTTAATTTAGTTTGAGTGCTTTTTATGATAACGGTAGGCTACAACGATGCATTGCAGAATTTTTATCTCGGATAAGATACTGAGTCGTAAGCGAACAACTATCATCCAAATAAATAAATTGAGTCGAGTTCCTTTCTTTTACATGTTACCAAATTAAAGTTTTGAAGAAAACAATATCATTATCATCACAACAACTCATCACAAGTTTATTGCTGAATATAGGTTTTCCCTAAGGAATTTCACAAAGAACGGGCCTATGCCCGATCGTCACTTTCTACCATCGAGAACATTTATTCACTACCGATTGTCGGTTTTTCGAGCTTCTTGCACATTCAATGCCATTTCAGCTTAGTAATCCGTTGAACTATGTCTGTTACTCTGGTTCTACTGCGGATATCCTCATTTCTAAGTGTATCACGCAGAGAAATCCCGAGCATTGCCCTCTTCATAGCTCGCTGAGGTTTCTTAAGCTTCCCTGGTTGTACTGTGGATATCCTCATTTTAAATTCAATCGATCAAAAGCGGAAAAATTGCGAGCATAACCCTCTCCGTATCTCGATATCTAACTTTAGCTTCCTCATAGATCTAGCAGTGAAGAAAAGGTTCTTAGATCTATAGACATTGCTGACAAGACGCACTATATTTCATTTATATATTAAGTTAAAATAAACCTAGTTGTCTTTTTACTATGTTACAGTAGTGTACAATCACAAATTGGACTATACGTTAATTTACTTGCATAAGGTTTATTTATTACAAACAAAGGTTTTAAGCTTCCTACGACTAATGTTTGGAAGTTTTGAGAGCAGTGAAGTTTATCAATGCACGTCGGCGCAGTGCAGTGGATTGTTCTGCCCTAAAAATCCTCTGAGAAATGTGGGTAGACCTGATACCAATAATTACGCGTTTATGTATAGGTTATTACATTACCTTCTTTTATTTTATGCGAATACATTGTGGTTTAGAACAGAAGTCCAATGGAAATTGATATCAATTTTACTCGGAATTTAGATAAGTCAATCAATGCTACATTGTTAAATTATTTGAGTTTTAGATTTCCACGAATGTATTTATTTAGTTTAATATGATAATGGTAATGGTAGGTCCTATTATCTAAAAGTCGTTTTTAATTAACTGCCATTTTAAATATGGCTGTAAGTTGCTTTTTTGCAAGCTATGCATGTATAAAATTAAAGTTAAGCTACAGCCTACCAACGTCCCAGCATCGGAAACAGCCCGCCTCTAATTTCTAAGAATCCTGAGCTACCCGCATCCATCGACTTCCTGCATATCTTACCAGGTCATAACTCCATCTAGTGGGGGTTCTATTTATTTATAAAACGTGGTTTATTGATAGTCTTTCTAACTAAAAAATTATCTTAGCCGCGGCGCCACAGTCTTTGCGAAATTTAATATTTGCTGTCTAATTACACACTTTACGTTTTAGTTCGCATATACCTGCGTGTCTTCTTTATTTAAATAGACACCTTAAACCTGATACTAATATATATATCGCCGACGTGCACTGATAAACTTCACTGCTCTCAAAACCTCCAAACATTAGTCGTAGGAAGCTTAATACCTTTGTTTGTAATAAATAAACCTTATGCAAGTAAATTAACGTATAATCCAATTTGTGATTGTACACTACTGTAACATAGTTAAAAAGACAACTAGGTTTATTTTAACTTAATATCTAAATGAAATATAGTGCGTCTTGTCAGCAATGTCTATGGATCTAAGAACCTTTCCTTCTCTGCTAGATCATACTATAATAATACTAATACTAACTAAAAACTTATTTTTGTAACAAGGCGGATATTGTTAGATCCACAAAAAAAGCAGTGGAATTTCGTATGGTCATAATAATCAAACATAAGATTAAAAAGGGCCAGAGCTTTACGAATAGGCAATAATATCAGGAAAGAATTTGACACATGATACCTTCATTCCAAAACGAACGATAAGAAAATTAACATTGTCTGGAACACATCCGTTATAAAAAAGGGATTTAACGAACAAAAGTCCCTCCATTTATATAAAATGTAATTCGTGTCGCAATTGCACCATTACTCCTCCATATGGATTTACACTTTCCTTGTGGTAAAAATTACGCAAAGCCATTCACGTTGTTAATATATAGGAGTTCAGTCCATCTAAGAACACTGCTGAGCATAAGCTTCTCTATAGATTACCTTATTGATGATATTTGCCATAGATTGCCACGCTTGGCAGGCGGGTTGGCAATCTCAGTTTTTTTACATTATTTGAGTTATTATCAGGAAGATGCTAGGCGAATTGGGATAGTGGATATTCTTACACCGCCACTACACGGTTTTTAGATAAATTTAGATAATATGCAATAATATGAAAAAATATTTAAAGAAAACAACATGAGATGGAATTTCAAATACCTTGTCCAACTTTAAATAAACATCCAACCAAATATATTTATATCATTTATATTTCAATTAAAAGAAATAGTTTTCACACAAACTGCACAATAATGACTTGATATTTTACAGATTTAGTTGAGGTCAATAGGATCAATATAATTGAAACTAACGTTATAAGAAAAAACTATAAATCATAATTCGCAACATCAATACGGAGTCATTGCAAGACAAATACAATGATAATTAAGTAAGGCACGCGATGAAGCATCAAAACAAAAACGAAAGTAAGGTAGGTATACATAATATCACAGATATTATGAACGGGGAAATGGAGAGGGTTTGCTTGCGAACCAGTGTTGCTAGCTGAAATTGTTTTACCGACTTTGTAGGTTCACATTATAGAATAAAAACGTTTTGTCGTAAGTATAGACTATGGGAAATGCCAGAAAAAATTATAGCGTTCGATATATATCTTGTTTACATCAACGCCAAACACGTAGACAGGCGACGGGCAGCCAGCGTCAAATGTGCGAAACGTACGGTACTGCGATCATCAATCAAATCCAATGGGAAAGGTCTGTGTTCAGCAGTTGAATCTCACGAACTGACGATAAAGAAGAAAGAAGTATTTAAATATATACAAAACAGTTAAATACCCACTTTTGACAATTATTTATATTTGATAGACAGATATTTTTTATTGTTCAAAATTAAGTTGAGAACAGAAGAGAATATTGTTATTAATCATGAGAAAAGTAGTCAATAAAAAATAAGAAAATATATAAATAAATAACGAGATAATTAACACCATTACGTACATATTTATAATTTTGTTACAAATGTAGCACACTTGGTAATTGTGGTACTTATTTGCACGTAATAAATTGATCAAAGTAAATTACCTGTAAGTGTTCTTGGATCAAAATTATATGAAGTTGACGCCTGCTGTTTGTATATTGTGTAGTCATCAATTGACTACATAATATACAGACACAGAGGAGACGTCAACGAATATAATATAATATTATGATATACAGCGGTAATCATGTGCACGCAAATCAGTTAAGCCGGTTTCACTGTGGAGGGGAATCGTTCGACTTCATAACAGAGTTTATTTATCTGTGTCAGAAGCAAATAACAAGTGAAAATAGCATGCAAAATTACATTCACGGGCATTGTACTTTGTGTCGTTTATTCTTTGTCTGTACACGACAGTTTAATTTTAGTGACAACAATAAGGAATATAAATTTGGTTTTGTAAAATTTCCCGATTTCAAATAGAGTGTTGGTAATTTCGCGGTTGCGTAGCTGTCCACCCGGCGGACCGTCGGAGTGAAGCGCGGGCACAGTGGGTGTCCGTTCGCCGTCATGTTCGTTCGTCGCGTGCACACCGTGCTGGCGCTGCTCGCGTTAGCGACCGCCGCGCACGCCCTTATCGACGAC